AATAATAATAATAATAATAATAATAGTAATAGTAGATAATAATAATAATAATAATAATAATAATAATAATAATAATAATAATAATAATAATAATAAACCTGGCACGATCAGTTCGACATAATTTAAGACACATGAGATACATTGTTTTTGGTTCCAAACCTTCCACAGAATATCCGATTCGAGGATAGATACATCTTGAGATAAAAGTAAGTTAAACATGGAAAATAATCTTATACATATTAGAACCTATATAGATTGATAATGATTCGAGAATAGTTCCGAAATATATTTACTCCCACCGAAAGAGATTATCATGACATTATCATAAGATAAAATCACCTGAATACAACTCTACCTTCCCATACTGAAATCACCTGAATATAACTTTACCTTCCCATACTGAAATCACCTGAATATAACTTTACCTTCCTACCTGAATATAACTTTATCTTCCTATACTGAAATCACCTGAATATAACTTTACCTTCCTTTACTTGTCAAAATCATTTCATTATTGTTACGATGAAATTCTTCCCATAATTTCCGATGTGATATACCAATACGAATTTTCCCATTGTTTATAGCCAGTTGTTCGGTTTGTTGTGCAAAAATTTCATTCATGACCTAATCATATTTAGATATTTCTTTTTTTCAGTCCTAAAATTCAAATTTTATATTTTTTTTTGAAAATTGAAATATTTCTATACCTAACTTTTAACAATTATATCAATAATACTTTTGTCAAAGTAATCAGATACCATATGGATACCATAGCCATAGCCATGGAGACATGGAGATAAATTTTAATGGAGATACCATAGCCAAAATATTATCATTGATATAATTTATAAAAAGAAAAAGTGTTATTGATAAGTTATGGTGAAATAAATTTGTAGTACTTAATATAGAGTATCATAGTTTCATAGTTTACTCTTTTCGAAGAATTAAAATTTTTTCATTTTTCTCTCGAATATTCGATATGACATTTATTTTAGGCAACATTATATCCTCCCAGGATTTTGATCTTGTCGACTGTATTCCTCATCTCATACTCATTTTCAATTTTAAATCTCTTGAAAAGGAAAGTAAGGAATTGTTCATTACTCAAATAAAAATTAAATATATGTAAATTAAAAGATTAAAGATTAAGTATGTGCAAATAATAAATGGGAAGGAAAAAATCTTAAAGTTGTCGTTGTCATTTTACTCATATAAATTGATAACTTTTACATGTACAAGTGAAGTAAAGTAAATAAGGTTGAAAAAAAGAAAGTAAGAAATAAAGTACCAATTAAAGGAGAGCAAAACTTCTATTAAAAGAATTTTTTGTGTCATATGTCGTATATGTTAGCAGTTTTACGATAGAACTCCACCTCCTCCTGATAATGTAAATGGTGCAAACAAAGTGGTAAAATTGGCATACGGTAAATATATCTATTACATTCAAATAAGATAAATATCTAATATTGGAAATGATGAACTTAATACCATTGGTAATTTTAATTTTAATTAAAATTTAAGGTGTAAAAAAGTTTAAAAAGGATAAGATAAAGTAGGAAGATAAATGAGATTAATGAGTGTAATAAAAATTAAATAATTATTTTAATAATCATTGAAATTTTCCAATCAAAATAATTTTTAATAATTTTATCAAATCATTTATCAAATATTTAATGACATTCTTTGTCCTCAAATTAAATAAACCAATTTTTGTTTTATATGATTAGATAATGAATTCATCCTTATCCTGTTGTTAAATGTCATTTAAAAAAAAAAAAAAGAAAGCATCACTGATCGATGGTACCATTCTATTCATGTTTAGTTGACATTCGAGAAATCACTAGATAATAATTGTATTTCAAAAATGAATTTCAATTTTCTTTTTTTGCTTTCTCCTTTTTTTTTTTAATTTAATAATCGAGAATGATTTGTCCAATCATTTCATTAGATTGCTATTTTTACAGTACAACCAATTTCAGCTTCCTATTGATTATTAAAGTATATGATACTAAAGGATATGATTACATAATATGAAATGAAAAACTTTGAAAAGATTATCAGCTTTTTTGAGATCTGAAAAGGGTGACATATTGTGGACAATGGTCGAATAGCCATAACAAGGGTACAAGAGTATGATACGGTGATATGACAGGTAACGGAATGCTTCCTTTTACAGGTGTAAATGTTATTTTTTTCTTTTGTAATTTATGAGAGAAATAGTATGCGGATTATTCATTGTTCATCAAAGAGCGGCAATTTATTTTTTACGGAGAAATGCAACAGATTATCAAAAAAAAAAGAAAAAAAAAAGAAAAATGCGCAACTGTTTAATGAATGACCGATGACAGTCTGCATCGGTGACAATCTGCGCCGATGACAATCCTTACCGATGAGCTTAGTACCAACAGAACTTTTATCTGATCTTTGTTATTTTAAGTGATAAAAGTGAAGCTGAGCTAATTAACATTAAGGTTTTGATACTTTAAAATGAAATTAATTAATTAAGAAAATTCAATCTTTCTTTCAAATTCTCCTTTTTTGCCTCTTCTTTTCCCAATCCACTTTTTCATTTAGTTTTTTTTTTCAATTTTTATCACTTTTAAGTTAATCCATTCTTTTTTTTCCAATTAAATGTAGCATTGTTAAGCTTAAAATTGGTTGAAGATTTTCCGAAAGAAGAAGCACATTTGTAAAAATTATTCCTCATGATAAAACCACAAGATTTAAATTAACAAGTCAATGAACCAATACAAATAATTAGTATTTTGAATTAAATTTTTTTTAAAGTTGACTTTTGATTAAAATAGAAAATAAAAAAACAAAAAAAAATAAAGGAAATAGTTAATAAAATTTTAGGAAATAAAAAAAACATTAAAGGAAGTTCTTTTCCTTTCAAAATTTATTTTCAATTAAATTAGCCGCTTAAAGGATGTGGAAAATAAAGACAAAATTAGAATACCTTTTGATACTTTCTAGCGATAAGCATTTACAAACTCTTCCCAAAAAAATGAATGAAATTTCAAAGCTCAAATTAAACCATTCTGAAGTACTTAGTTGTAAAATCTGTCAATGTTTTTATCAGGTCCTTTTCTCAAATTCTCTTTTTTTTTCTTTGTCAGGTCCTCTTTTTTTATCAGATCCTTTCCTCTTTTTATCAGGGTCCTTTCTTTTTTTATCATTCCTGAAATTCTCGTTTTTTGTCAAGCCTTTTCCCTTTTTCGTCAGGTCCTTTCCTGAAATTCTTTTTTTTCTCTAAATTTTATTTATACTAATTTTTAACGGAATGATAATATTTCTGAACCTGCGGGAATAGTCTAAATGGCAATAATAAGCGTCCTCTTCCCATTTCCGCTTCATTAATGCATTAATTTTGATGCGAAAAGAAACATCATTCTGTATTTCAATTTGCTTATCCATCCGTTACAAAATAATTTTTGGTCGCTATCTTTGTTTCCTCTAAAAATATTTTATCGCCACGTGACACTTATTATCACAGTCGGTGGCCTTTTTTTTTACTGTCCATTAACGCTCGTTATCAAAAGTTTATTACCGTATACAAATGCTTTTCATTCATTCGTGACATATGGAACATATTACAAGTTCTTAATTTTTTTTTTTTTTCATATACAGAACGGTAATTATTTGATGATGTGGACAATCAGATAAGCTGGCGCCTATCAATCTGCTCTTTCGGAGTAAATTTGTTAATCTGATCATCATCCAAGATGTGATCGATGCTGTGATGTCAAGAGAGAAGTTTTAGAGATAACTCTTATAGCACATTATTTATGGTCATTCTCAATTTCTGAAATCTTAGAAAAGCCTAAATAAGAGATAAGGTGATATCATTAAGTGTTCAATATCAAAGGTTGTAGAATTTACTGGAAACTGAAAACATTTGAATTATAAATTATCACTTATCATTTCTTTTATAATATTATCAAATAGTAAATAGAACAAAATATTGGAATAAAGTATGACACACAAAATTACTGCTAAAAAAAGAATCAAAATTGTTTAGGATGAATTTTATTCCGTATAGGATTGATATTTATTCTATAATAATAACTAGATGGTAATTTTAAGAAAAGGAAATAAGGTGAAGGATTTAAATTTGGATAACACAATACACCATGCTATTTATTCTTTATTACAATGAAAAAAAAAAAATGATGGCATTAATTTCCATTTAATCATAAAAAATTTTTTCGCAGTTTAAGATATTTCGAATTTCGAAATTTTTTTTTTTAAATCTCATTTTCATATTTTTAAATCACTTTCATCTTTGCAAGCGCTATGTATGGTCAGTAATTCTATTCAGAGAGTTACTGTGATGAAATGTCATTAATAGTTAGCTGCGATGATTTGATGTATTCCTTAAAATTTGAACTTTCAAATAGTATTTCAATTTTTATTTCTGAATGAAATATGCATCAGTTATTCGGCTTCTTTTTAAAAACTTTCATATGAATCCTTAGGACTTTGAGAGCTCACTTTTAAGATTTTCAGCGTTTTCTCGAAACTTTCAACTTTTCATCAAAAAAAAAAAACTATGCAGAAAACTTTTCAGCTCTCTTTATTATTACTATTATGTGTACAATACAAAAGACAGTGCAATTTGTTTCGCATGAAAATTTGAACTTGATGCAAGACGAAGAGGTTTGTAAATATTATGGAAATTATGATAATTGTTTGAATTATCAATTATCAACATTTGAGTGAACTGATAAAAGAGCATTATGATACTCTTTTAAAAGGTAGTACCATATCTGTATTGCATTCTTATCACTATCAGAAAATGAATAATCCTAGTGAACATATGGCCATATAGTGTTCATAATAAATGTTAAAGATCATATTGAATGAGCCATTATTCAAGTTATTTGAAATTTTCCAGGACTTTAGAATCTGAAAAAATTTATGATATACATTTAAGCTTTAAAAAATGGGATAGAGCAGACTGAAAGTAAATGAGAAGATGAAGAAAATTGCAATAAGTTGATATTATGTGATTAGACAAAGCACTAAGCATGATATTTGTATTATCAATCTGTAATCAAATATTATAACATCAAAGAAGAATCAATAGCATGAAATTTTCATTGTAGTATCGACATTTCTGTCGGAAATCATCATTTCAAAGAGGAGATTTTTATAAAAGTGTAAAAATTAGCAAAGCAGCACGAAACGAGTTTATTCTCATACAGGTCGCAAAAGTAAACACGGATTGCAAGTAAGTTTTTCCCTATCGAGAAATCGAAAAGCATTTCACGTACTATCACGTGTAATTACATCTTCATTTTCCAAGTGTCATCTGAACCACATATCATCGCTTATATATATATATATATATATATGATGAAAAAAAGTGGACTATTGATTGCAGCTTTCAACTTAGCGCTGTGTCAAATTCAAATGAAGAAATTGTTGTCCACAACATTTTCCCCACAGATCACCTTAATCAAAATGTCATCCTTCTGGTCAGTTACAGCTTTCTCACAAAGCATTAAACTATTTGTTATGGTACTGACTAAAGAAATCAGGAAGCAAACAGCTAGTTTATTTCAAAAAGGTTTAGAACAATGTTCTGG